CTTGAAGAGCTCAAGGGCAACAAAAACTCATTCAGTTGGAAAGTTTAAGAATATTTAAATATAACATTGAGATACAACACAGAATCTTTGATAATTAAAAGGGAACATCACATACATTGGTCTATCTCCTGCATGTTAAGCACTTGCAACTTTGGACAATATTACCCTTCTAAACAATTCTGACACACACACACCACCACCCCAAAAACCATGTTTACGACATTATGTTACTACAGCACAATTTTACTTCATTGTTATTTGAAAACACACGATTTGTGTGGTTGTAAGTGGTTATATCCATTCTGCCTAATACAAAACATAAATACAAAAATGTTTCTCTATGACAAAAGCAACTGCATAACCTTTTTTTTTTACCATTTGAGAATTCATCTTATGTATAAAAACAATAAATCATACCATTCAGTGTCTAGAGTATATTAACAGTTACAAGTTGGCACTAGAGTCTGTATCACTACTCGTTTACCCCACTAACTTAAAACAAGGCTAGTGATGGAACACAATACAACACAATGAGTAAAAACTTTCATTTAAGGTTCTATCTAGCAAGGGTTATGCTTTGTCAATGAATTAATAAACAAAATAAATCCATGCAGAAAGCCATAGGCTCATAGTACCATACAGTTTTACTGAACTATAATTACAGTTGTTTGCAATCATTAATTCATAATTCATCCTTTGGGGATTTCCCTACCTAATCTGTCTAAAACCATCTGTTAACAATGCTGAATAGCAAGAAAGCTGCTCTAATTCTTTTTGTGCAGGATCACTGTGAGGCGGTTTTGATTTAACACTCATTCTGCTTGAGAACTACAAAAAATTTTTTAATCTATAGAGAAGTCATTAATCAGATCTTATAAATTTGAAAGATAAGATTCCATTGAAAAAGAGCAATTGATTTTCAGCTATGTCAGTAAGAAGCATCTTACTTCAGCTACTTGAAATGTTAGTCTGACTAATTTATCACATCAAAGACTAAGGTACTGAACATTATAAACAGTAGCCAAGCTTAACTCAAAGCCAGTTTCACCATCCAAGGGTTCACAGAAAAAAAAAATCCTGAAACCACAACTATTTCATGGTAATGCTGTTGCTCATGTGATAAAATGTTCAAGTGTAATTTTTCTTGTAAAGCAGAATATAATTAGTGACATTAACATCATTAATTATTAATGTAACAAAGTAAGTTTCATTTACCTATTTAGGATATTCTAAGGTACTCCTGTGCTCCCTAGCATACCTTAAAAACTACAACTGTAAATTATTACCTAATACCCTTCCACTGTTTCATAACAACCTAGCTTCAATGACCAAATAGCTGTCAATTAAAAACCAGCCTTAGTAAAGGGAAACCTGCAACCACATCGGCCCAGAAATTCAACTAGATACTGTGACTGAAGTAATCACATTATCTACAGCCAGATGATAAACTCATAAGATTAACTTTTCTGCATAAATCAAAGAGAAAGAATGAGGCTCCTTTAGGGGCACAGAGTACCAAGTGTAGGCTGAATAACAGTTGAGCTGCTGCAAGCTTCATTTTCCATTAAAAGAATTTGTATCGAGTGGAAGATTCATAATACAAACCACAAGCTCACAACTTAACCCACAATACCTATGGAACCAAAGGGAGAAGAAGAGTCAGTGAGTTAGTGACTAATTGAAACTAATGAGGTGCAACTCTGTACCCAGGCAGCATACCATATGCTTCCAGACTCAACAGCAGTTAATGTGTATGACTCTGCGTCCATGGCACAGTTTCTCTGTGGTACGGGATGTAAACTAAGAGTTTAGCAGGAGGTTTGCTTCACTCTGTACAAGTTACAACGCAAGCCTCTATGCCGTAATTCATAATTTATTACTCAACAGTAGTGCCAAGTCTCAAGCGAGTACAAAATTAATTCACAAAGAAGAAAATCCTGGTAAAGGGGAGAAAGAGCTTCTTAAAGCTTGCAAGTTACCAGAATTTTGGAAGTACTGAAGGATAAAGGCTAGTACCCAAGAAGCATTTTAAAAGGAGTGCCCCAAGTTTTTCCCCCCCCCCCCGATGCACTGAAGAAAGCAATGAGTTTAAGACAAATATGGATTACCCTACTTTTTCCAAAAAGGAATTTTCCCATCCTCCAAAAAGAGTTAGAAGGGGCAAAGTGCAAGCCCTGGCACCATTCTGGAGTAAGAACAGCCAAAAATACAAGAACCCTTTAGCACCTTAGAGGTGGGAAAGGGAAAGACCTAGAGGTACGAAAAAATGCCTAGTGAAACAAGGCAGCCAAGGGAATTGCTGGAACAAATCTCTCGGTGCATCTGCTGCACGGGAATGCAAATAAGTTGAAATGGATGAGAGCTTGGACTGAATGCTGAAATTCAGGAAGAAAATAAGACTACACGTATTCCTTAATTTTATGAATGCTGTCCAGAGAGTACATGAGACACTTCTATTTAGTCTCTAAGGGAGAAAGAGAGAACACATTTGATTAGCAACAAGTTCAAAAGTAGGTAGGAAATGAGCCTGTACTGCAATACAATACTAGAACTACAGACATTCAAACAGCAGCTTATACACAAGACTGATGCATGATGTGGAAGAAAAACAGATAGGGAAAATGTGGTGTTCCCCCCACCCCATTTTAGTAGACTTCCAAGAATAAAAAGCTAGTGATATCAAGTTAGAAGTCTAACAGTGCTCTTAATGTAGGACTCTATCCTTTAGAGCTCTTAGCAAAAACAACATTAAGACAAATCTAGGACTGAATATATCTTTGCAGCTACAAAGTTCAGAAAAAATGAACACTCATTGAAAGGTATCATGTGTATGTATGTCACTTATCGTACCTCCTACATCAGTTTTGGCCAGTATTGGCACCACACACGCTTACGTCCCCCAAATAGTAAGTCTTATGAAGCTCCTTTGCTACATCCAGAGGAAATATCTTTCAGTATGGAGACATACTAAGGTCCACGTCTACAAGAATATTGAAGAACTGAATGCAAGTTGCTGTTCAGAGTTCTGCTGCTACTGGGTACAACATGAGCAACCTAGTAGTCTCTAGTCACCTGAGGGCTTCCAAGCCAACAACACCACAAAACAGCTTCCCCAAAGACATTGCCAGCCTACAGACAAAATTCAAAGGCCAGTGTCAAAGAACAGTAGCATACTGAACTCCACGTCTACAGTTTTACACTTCTCTTAAATGTCTCTCTCTGATAGAACGTGCTTGTTGAGTTCCATGGAGAATAACATCAGTTCCACTAAACATACAGTAACTTACCAGCTATTACAGTCCTTTTCTTCAGGAGTTGTAACCCTGATATACCCAGTTCCTTCCTTAAGACAACTCTGCCCCATCCCTTTGACAGAAAATATGAACAGAGCAGCTATTCATATTTATGCTCAACTACAAAAGAAAGTAAAGTGATCCCTACTCCAGAATGTATCTATGTGATGTACTCAGAGAATCTGTGTGGAATCAAAGTGACTGCAGAAGAGGCTATGGAAATACTAGATAAAATGAACTGCAACAACTTGCCAACATTAGATGTTATTTACTAAGGTTTCAGGTGATTCAAAGATGCAACAAATTATATCAACTTTCTCATGCAACCTCCTGCTTAAAACTAGATCAGCAGCTGAGGTATGGAGGTTGCCCGACACTTGTACAGGGTAAATCAATACAAAAAATTAGGAAGAACAGAAGTAGTGGACAGCCAGATATGATGTACTGGCAAAGACTTAACATGGTGTTTGTTAAAGGAATTCCTGCTTCACAAAACAACCAGATTTCTCTGTAGAGATTGCCGATTGCATGGATAACGAGGCACTCTGCTGAGAAAACTAGGAAACAAAGTCCATACCAAAGGTTTCAAGGGACACCAAGCAAGTCTCTGAAAAAAATGAAGAACGCCCTTTGTATGAATATTTAACTCATGAAGAGACAGAATGATGAGAAGGAAGATGAAGGAAGGCAGGAAGTAAATGATTGCTTACTTTAATAGAGGGAGATGACCAATGGAGTCTCACAGAAACCTGCGCTGCGACGTAGATTATTCTACATGATCATAAAGAGGGAGGATAGATAAGCAGGTAATAAAATGATGAAAATTTGCTGGTGATCCTAAGTTATTCAGGACAGTAAAGATAAGATCTGACTACAGAATTGCAGAAACATCTTGTAACACTGACCAGGGAACAAAATGTCAGACAAAAAAATCACTGCGGATTAAAGAGATGCAGATGGGAAAGTACCAACCTAGCTTCCTATATGAAAGCTAGGTCCTAGCTGACCATCACTCCTCAGCAGCAAGATCTTTTCACTGTAACACATACCTCCATGAAAAAAATCAGACTCATTTATGATGAAAGGGACTTCCAGGGTTACCTAGTCCAGCTCCCTGCTCAGACCAGGTCCAGTTAGAGCATGTTGCTCAGGGCCTTGTCCAATTAGTTCTGAACATCTCCAAAACTGCAGACTTTGTAGGTGCTCTGTGTACCTTATCCAGTGTCTGACCACCCCTATATTGGAAAAGGCATTTTCCTGTATCTCATCAGACTTCCCCATGTTCCAACTTCTGTCCATTGCCTCTTGTCCTACCACCATACATGACTGGGATCAGTCTGTCTCGGTTTTCTCCATACCTGCCCATTAGGTGGGCAGTTGTAGACTGCAGTAAACTCTGCCATTGACCAGACAAAAAAAAAAAATCACTCCAGATTCAAGTAATACCGATGGGAAAGTACCATCTTAGTTTCCTATATAAAAGCTAGGTCCTAGCTGACCATTATGCCTGTCTTCCTGAGATGGAAGAAACCCACTTCCTTCAACCTCCCCTCTTATGTCTCACATGCTCCACTACGTCAGTGTTGTCCCTTGTACTGGGGAGCCCAGAACTGGACATGGTACTCCAGATGCTGTCTCACAAGTGCCAACCAGAAGGGAAGAATCATTTCTGCAGCCTGCTGGTTACATTCCTGCTAACAGCCCAGCATGCAGCTGGCTGTCATTGCTGACTCCTGTTCAACTCTTTGTCCACCAGGACCCCCATGGCTTTCCCCGCAAAGGTTCTCTATAGGCAGCTGGTCCCAGCCTGTACCGTCGCGTGGTGTTATCCTGGCCCAGACGCAGGACTTGGTATTACTGCCTTTGTTGGACTTCACAAACTTCCTGTCAGATCACCTTTCTGGCCTGTCCCTCTGTCCAGCAGCCCTGTCCTGCAGCGTATCAGACACTCCCCAACTCGCTGTAGGGGAGTTCACATGCCTATTGAACATGCTGGCCCATCATCCCAACGTTCAGATGATTAGTAACAACATTAAGCAATATTGGCCCCTGTATCAGTCCCTGAGGGATGCCACTGGTAATTGACCAAAAAAAAGTAGAGAAAAGGTCATTGATTATATACAGACCTCTAGCTTTATCCAGTATGGCTATTTTAAAGTCATACCGCTTCGTTGGGCTCTAATATGTAACTCCAGAAACTTCTGGAAAAAACAGAATACTGGCAGAACATTATGTAACATAACTATATAATGTTTACTGAAATGGGAATTATTTTAGCTAGTTTCAGAGAAAGCAAGGAAACAATACCATAGTAAAGAACAGATTTGTTTTATCTACCTTAATGCATGTACCACTGTCAACTTAGGCAGATTTTAAGACTGACAATAACAAAATTCTGAACATTGGTATCATAGTTTTTTTGTAGTTATTTAAGCTTTTGTTTTGACTATATAGGTCAAGCCAATTCCAAAAGGTCCGACAGAATCTCCTGTAACAAGAAAGTTGGAAAAACATGTTGAGTAACATGTGGGCACACAATCAATCTCCAAAGTGCCTATGGGAGAAATGGGCTAATGAAGCCTAATGGGCTTTCTGAAGGTTGAGCAGCTAGCTGTACTCACACAGGTCTACACTCAGGATGTTGGAGCATATGTCACTTTCAACTATGAAAACTGACTTTGCTCTTTCGGAAAAATAGGCAGACAAAGCTCAAAGTTCCCTCTCAGTGAACTTTTCCCAAGTACCGGACTGTGAAGGCTGACAAAAACCTATTCTGCAGTTTCTCAGAGTGCTTCCTTAGAACAGATCCAGACAGACGGACTCCTACAGCTCTGAAGATACCCAACTGCTGCTAGACTAGCAAACAGGTACATAATTGGCAGCTGAGGAAGTCACTGGTGGAGCCACATCCTGGAAAGTGCTTTTCCCCCATCTGCCTTTCCTCAACTGTTTAAATGACTTGTTATTAAATGAGTCAGCACTGACCACTTTAAACACCCTTCCTGACTTGTGTTGCCAAAAACTTTCCATAAAAAAATAAAACCCAACATAATTAGACTGGAAATGGGTAGCAGCAGTGAAGGAGATGTCTAGATTTTAAAGAATGCTCCACTATTTGCATGTAGAACACTGAACTAAAGACACCGATCCAGGAGAATTCTACTTGTTCTAAAGAAAATTGTGGGGTTTGACCCCAAAAGCCATATTTTCTGAACTGCATGCCTGCCACATGCTTTGCACAATACTGTAGAATGAATCTCTTCACAGTACAGATATGCAGATAGTGAAAAAGAAGTGTTAGCAAATATGCTTAATACTGTGGCTTAAATCTGCTGTCTTGTAATTTGTGGCACTATTAGAAAAGGGCCACATCAGGTTCTGAACAGATCTAGGGAAAATGAAGACCTTGTTTAACTCTGTAAATATTAAGTTTTAAAAACAAATTTACTAATAAACATATCCAGTAATGACTCTAAGGGTAACTTCTCCTGCCAGGAAAACAGGAATCTTATACCACTGCTGGCAGCAAATATACTCTGATACTACGCAGTCTCCAAGAAAAATCAAGCTGCAAAGTGCAATTAAAAAAAATCAAACAAAAATAACCCTCCCATTTGCTGAGTAAGAGCAAGCGCTCAAACACACTTTTACAGTATTACACATCAATTAGGATGATGTACTATACAGTACATTAATTTAAACAAGAATCAATGCAGCCTTTTCTTCTTTTGCTTAAAGAGAACAGATTTAGCTCCACAGGAGAGATTGAAAGCAAGTTTGTCAGACAGGGCACCTTTTGTTTCCTCTTTGCTTAAAATAAGTAGTGAAAAGCAGTAGCAACATTCTGACTATTTTTTTCAGTAGTATACAAGTATCACATAGCGCTTCTCAGCTTTTAACAAAAGGGTAAACTGTGAGGTTAACTTCACAGCAAGAACAAATCCCTTGGCAAGTGTATTTCATACAAGCAGAAAAACAGTCCTGAGCATTACTGCTGAAACATAGCTTATGCAGAATATAAAAACAAATTCTGAGATTAAGTACTTTATAAACACCCTGTCTGCATAAATACCCAAACAAAGCCAGCCAGTGAGACCTCTACTGAACAATCTAAATGAAACAGTACAGACAGAACCGATAAAGCAGTACAGCAGTGGGGCATTTTATCAGGCAAGCGTAGGGGACTACTGCTGATACGATCAGCAACTTCAGCCTGATTCTGAACGGAGCTCAGCACTCACGCTTCAAGGGAACAAGCTCATCTAAAGTCTGAAGCGCTTTACCAGGAAAACAGTAAGCTCTGAGTGTTCACAAATGCTCAGGCACCTTACACTGTATACAGGGGAAGTGAAAGATGCTTAGCACTTCTGGAAGATGCATTCACAGGCTTTATGGTCAATGAAAAATCATACAAGACATACTACATGTGCAACAAATCCACAGGGAAATAAAGACCACTGTTCTCAAAGAGTATTCCAGAGGAATAAGATGCGCACATCTTCATAGAAATCTATTAAAAATAAGGATTTACCATATGCAATTAAATTCAGCTTTGCAATTGGAGGGGTTTCTGTTTGCTCTTAAGCTTCCTGAAAGTCGTCTCTGTATTTTACCTCTCTAAATTGTTTCAGCAGTAGAAAATTCATTGAACTTCAATTTTACTTTGCCTTGGAACAAGTGGTTTAATCCCTTTGATAGGCTTCTTTGAACTGACTGCGATTTCTTCAAACAGAGAAAGACAAATTACCATGATAAGTACAGAAACACAATTGCCCATCGAAAGCCCTTCCTGCAGCCCAAGCTGTACAAGTGCAAAACGAGGCTTACAACAGTTTGTTTCCAGATGGGCTATGATGGCATACACATAACTTGACCTCACCAGGACTAGTTATTTTTGTATAGCAGTTACACATTGTTTAAAGACTTTGTACAGATAGGTTTTGACTTGCTAACTTCAATAAGCAGTGCTCGAAGAACAAAAATGCTATAGAGCAAACACTGTGCTGTTTTCATACATTATTTTTCAAGAAAGAAAAGTTTTATTGGCTATATCAAACTCCAGTTTTGCAAGTCAAGAGCTAAAATAAAACAAACCACCAACACCGAAGTGGCTGGCATGCAATTACTTAGCAGACCACTTGAAAACATGACTTTTTCCCCCTCCCCAGCTCATTTAGCACCGTGCGGGACACGTTAAGAGGTCACCAAGACACAGTCTGCATACCATATAAACTTCTTAAAATTCGGGTACTACCCCGGGGTGCGCTAAGAGCTCCAATCAATGCAACGCTCAGGCCAGACCGCGAAAACACAAAAGCTTCGCCAAATCCCCTGGAAGCCGACCGCTCTCACCAGCGCCAAGCTGCGAGAAAAGCAGAACGCTCCCATGCGGAAAACCCCAGCGGGCCAGAGACTCGTCAAGCCCTGGGGGGGGGGGGAACTCGGGCGGCGGGGCAGCCCCTCGCCCCGACGGCGGCATCCCCGGGGCTCGAACCGCCGACGGCGCCCTCAGCGCCTTCGCGCCGCGGGCGTTACGCAACGGCACCGCGACCTTGCGGGGAACTTCGGAGTCTTTCTCGGGGGGGGGACGTGCCGCCAGCATCCCACACACACACACACACGCCCGCCGCCGCCTCACACCCCCGCTCCGGCAGCGGGATACCGCCCCCGCCTCGCCTGGCGGGACCCCGGGACGCGAAGAGGGACAGAAAGAGGAAGGGGCCGCGGCTGAGAGAGAAGCCGCCCCCGCCCGAGCGCCGGGAGGGGGGCGCTACTAAAGCCCGCGACCCCACAGCGCAAACTTCGGCGGCGGCCGAGCCCCGTCCCGGGCGGGAGAGGGGGAGGCGGGACCCCCGGCGG